CACCTGATAAACACAAACATGAAAGTACACAAAGCACCTAATCAAATAGAAAGAACTTAAACAAAATCATCGCCCAAGTCTTCAGTACATATGGTTAACGAGCGAAAGCTGAAACATGCTGCCATGGTTTTTAGGCATGAGTTCAACCCGACGTGGTACTGAAGCGCTCCACAAATATCGGTTGCATCCTAGCGCTTTTTATTGATGTTAGACACACTTTGAGTGTGGGTTTTTCACTGCGTTTATTTCACATGCCGCACATTGTGCCTGGTATGATCACATTGTACCCTCGCATGATCGCAGTAATTAGCGGCTAAATGTGTTTTGCAGTGCTTAGGTAGGGACGACTCAAGTGCAAAAAAAGCATATCATAAAAAAGCGAGAAGCAGAAGTGCAGAAAGAGCACAGCAGACCACCGTCAACTGTTTAATAACAGTCTGAGCATCGCACTGAAAAAAAAACATTCCGCGCATGCGTGGACACCGAACAAATGACGTACGTTAAGCACCAACTCGCCCGAAAAGAAGCCCTTTCCTAATGTGTTCGTCACAGCGGTTGTTCTCCAACCACAGGCGGTCACAGACATCGCAGCTGAAGTTAATGGGGTGCTCGAGAAAGTCTCGCTGAAAGTGGCCGTTTGCCCCGGCCAACGCACTTCCACAGTAATGACATTCCAGCTGCGGCACCACATTGTAGCAAGCGTTTGGCATTGCGAGCTAATTCTATGTCGTCGTTTCCAGGATCCAATCGGCCCATGCGCTCGCGTTTCTGTTCATGATTTAGGGCAGCCTGGAAAGGTGCGCAATAATTGGTACGTAGTTGCTGCCGGCACTCGGCCTCCTCAGCTTCTTTTTCGAGCGTACTCACGTTTCCACTGTCAGCGCTCTTCTAGAGTTGTCCGTGGCATATCCACGTGAAAGGTTTGTGGAGAAATCATAGATTGCGCGCTTGGCACCACAGCTGCGACGAGGCCACACAGCACTGCCATCGGCACGCGTGCACGGGAACGACGCTGCTACGACGCTGTACCCGATAGCGCAGTCAATGGAGACTCGCTCTCTGGGAGACGGCGAGTTTCTGTCAGGGACGGTGGCAATTTTTTCGCTCCTCCCGTGCGTTTGTTTTTGACGCCCGCTTCACGCCTTCGGGCACACAGCCCTTCTGAGGGCTATATCTAGTCATGGGCCCGCCTGTTCTCTGGTACCAGGCTCGGGCCAACTAAAACTTGAAGTTGGACTTTACACCCAAAACAGTAGAAGCTTTAGGATGCGTCTCCTACACCAAAGCTTCGCGACAGACGGCCATGGCCCTCGGCCTAAGCTGCGCAAAGCTCGCCTTCGCGCGCGCGCGAGGGCGCTCCATCAAGAACGCGGCAACTCGGGTGGAACCCTCGGATACAGATAAATCATCCGCCTCTAGTTCCTCATGGGAACTTCAGACACAACTGTCGTCTTCCCCACATAGCCAGGACACGACATGGGAGGAATCTGGCACCCCCGACTTCTGATGCAACACACCAACTTGCCTCCCAGCTCAACCGCACACCGTCCCTGAATCGAAGCCCATGACACAGCCCCCAGCCCTTCCTGCAGCAGTGGGGCAGCACGGTGGCACCATCCCAATTGGCAAGAAGTCAAACTATTTCGCCATGACCCACGAAGTCATCAGGGTCTTCCTGCCCGGATTCTCGGCCACTCGCCGCGTCCGCGTCGATTTCCGGCGCAACGTCATCGCTGTGGATATCCATGCCCTCCGGGATCCCGCACCCCTGCTCCTGGTCGGCCGGATCTGCGACACCCACGTGAGGGGGACGCTCCTCGTGGAAAACAGCTCCGTGGGCACCGTGTATGGCGTCGACGCAACCCTTGACTTGAACGACATCGTGGCCAACCTCGAAGCAGCCGTCTCGATAATCTCTTGCGTCCGACGAGGCAGGTGCCTCACGCTCACGTTTCAGGGCACCACAGTGCCGCTGGTGGTGGCCCTCTTCAAGCTTCAGAGGCCGGTCCGCCTCTACTGCCGTGGTCCCTTCATTGCGCCCGCTGCGGCTGTTTCGGCCACGCCACCACGACTGGTTCGCGAGACTAACGCTGCCTCTGCTGCGGCGGCAGCCACGCGAAAGCACCATGTCCTGCAGAGCACCCTCGCTGCATTAAATGTAGCTGCACACATCCGGCTAATAAGCCGTGCTGCTCTTCCTGGCAAACTCAGAGCAAGGCCACCGTCATCATTGCCTCTTCGGATGGCCCCGTGATGCGCCGCTGAGGGCTGGAGATTGCGAGAACCACTGTCAACATCATCAACGAGCGAGGCAGCACTGCAATTGTCCATGGCCGCTCCTTTCGGGACGCTGTTGCCTCCGGTCGTCGATCGGCGTTGGCATCTCCCCCTCGCCCTCCTACCAGTGCGCCTCCAGCTTCTGCAAGCAAGAGTGCCGCATCGCCCCTCTTCTGGATAACTCCGCCTGGTTGGTTGACTAGAAGGACGTGGTTATTACTGCACTTTCTGCTGCTATCCACTCGGTGATTGTATTCCTGCCACCGAATTCTCCGTTTCGTGGTCTGTGTGTTGCGGCTATCTGCGCATGAAGCGATCGTCCCGGCAAATTTAGGGAACTGAATTACGAAATTGAGTTCACCGGAACTTTCATCTGTGTGTTCAGCTCAACTTTCTATTTTCTCCCTTTTTTCTTTTGGCTGTACTGAACAATTTTGATTCTTTCTCCGTGCTTGGGCTACGTTCTCTGGCTAGTGTTCGGTGCACCCGCTGGATTACTTCATCGAGGCCAACGAGACACTAATCTGAGAGTTCAACTGAACTTCTTTCTCGTCGAACTGAGACATTTTTTTCTTGTGCTTGTGCTACGTGCTTATGGAAGTGCTCTACGCGCTTATGTCATTTTATGCGCCTTTTCGGCTCATCCTCTTTTTTTTCGCTGATTTATTTTCTCGGCCTTTCCGGTGGCTTTTCTGGATGGCTGCGGATCCTCGAGGCGGCTAAGACGCGCGCGATGTGAGGCGGAGCGAATTCCATTTCCAACCTTCTTTTACCTCTTCTTTGTGTCTCTTTTTTCCATGCACCCATTCCCTGTGCCGAACTCTGGAGGTGCCCTTCATTGAGAGAGGCAGTAACAGAACTGCGCTTATTTCTTCCTTTTTTCTTTTCAAAGTTACTTCGACTCGCTCTCTGGGTTTCGTGCAGACCGGTTGTGCCCCCGCGATCTTCGACGACAGCGCACCTCTGACTGACTGGCTCACCCTACGCCATCTCCTGTCGCCGACAAGAGCTCTCGCTGAGTAATGCCCCGTCCTTGGACTCCTGCGACCGTGTCCATCTTTCCTATATTTTCCTTCCTTCTCGGTGTCGCTGTCTCTACGCCACGCTCTCTCCTTCTGCCTTTCTATCTCTATACCTTTATTCCTATCCTTTTAATATCTCCTTACCGTGATCCCTCGTGAGCTACTGTTGAGGTGTCGCACTCCGATGCAGACATTTACGGGGCACACTTTTCTCTTCTTTTCTCTTTACGAATCACACAAGAAAGCTTGTGACACCGCAGCCGGGCTGTTTATCGTTTCTCCTAGCCGCACCCAGTTCTTGTTGTAAAACTAGCAAGCTGGAAAAGAGGTCGGACAGGCAACTTGCCTTTTCGTGTGATAAAGCACATATTTCTTCAGGCACTGTATACGAGGTCATATGTTGGAGCAACGCCAGTGGCATCGAATTGTTTTTTATTCAACCTAAAGCCTTTAGAGGAGCAAGTAAATCTACCACCTGCCTGTTGTCATTCTGCAAATTCCCATTTCTCCATCACCATCTATTGCTAGACTGAATCACCTTTTCCTCACACCTGTACAGTGAAATCGGCAGCCTGGAACATAGCATGTCTTTGACATTCTCGCTCACGTAAAACATACAGTTCTGAAGGTGGTCAGTCTCACGAGTTTGGAAAAACGCGGCAAGCCGAACGCCGATGCCGCCAGACTGCGCGGCGGCATCGGCGGTCACCAACTGGGGTTCTCTAACGTGCTGCCACGGCAAACGGGCCTACAGCATACGGGCCTACGATATTTTCGCCTCCATCAAAAATGCAGCCGGCGCCCCGCCGCGGTGGTCTAATGGCTAAGGTACTAGGCTGCTGACCCGTAGGTCGTGGGTTCAGATCCCGGCTGCGGCGGCTGCATTTCCGATGGAGGCGGAAATGTCGTAGGCCCGTGTACTCAGATTTGGGTGCACGTTAAAGAACCCCTGTGGTCGAAATTTCCGGAGCCCTCCACTACGGCGTCTCTCATAATCATAAGTTGGTTTTGGGACGTTAAATCTCACAAATCAATCAATCAATCAAATCAATCAAAATGCAGCTGGCACAGCTGGGATTCAATGCTGTGACCTGCGGCTCAGCACCGAATACCTTAGCCACTAGACCACCGCGGTGGAACGCGGACAACAGATTTATGCAACACACTAACTATTCGTATTATATTTGTCGCACCAAACTGACTCTAACAGTTTAGAGAGAGGCGGGAGGGGACTGGGGAGAAAACAATAGCAGACGACCAAAGTGGTGGAAGATAGCGAAAAAGCCATCGGGAAATGCGAACTGGCAATGAAACTAGCCGGGATAAAAAGGTCACCAGTTCTACTTTCCTAATCAGCCACTACCTGAGGTCTCGACATCGCTCATTTAATCAGCTGGCCGCACTTCTGTCAGGGAGCATGACCTGAGTCAGACTCGCAGATTCACAGAACAAAGTTTTCCAAATTTGGCCCGGGTTCGCGAACTAAGGACCGCAGCTAGCTTGAGCTCTCATTTAATGGAACTCATTTTAATGAGAACTCATTTAGAAGAGCGGGGTGGTAGGTAAACATGATGCACAGTGCGTATCATGTCTGTCAGGACTGCACAAACATCACACCTTGGGGGCGCACGTGTCCTCGCTACAATGTTTACGAAGCTGTGCTACTGCGAATTGACGTAAAGCCCTTTGCCCCACACGCAGGAAGGGTCACCAACTCTGCGCGTTCTGCACATCAGTGACACGCATGTGGACCCCGCTTACAGCGAAGGTAGCGAAGCGGTATGCAACGAACCGCTGTGCTGCCACGCTGGAGACGTGCCGGCGGCAGAACAGCAGCGAAGGATTGCAGGCCGCTGGGGAGCCTTCAGGACCTGCGATATACCTCCAAAGACGTTCGAGCACATGCTCAAGACGATCAGGGAGACTCAAAAGGTGAGTCTGCACTTTAGTTGTTCAAAACATTGTGAACATTGACAGCAGTTGAATGTTATCACTGAGATATCTCACCAGTTACTCATGTTGCACTTGAAAGTGGATTCTATATGGTGCGCCAGACATTGCCAGTTGTGGTCTAAAGACTGAAGGACATAAAGCCGAAGGAAAAACACATGAAAATATGTCCTTAACTCAAGAAGTTGTAAACATTTGAAATGCATGCAATCTAGGCTGGTTATATTGCGATCAAACAATGACAGGGCATATACGAGCAGCTGAAAGAAATAACGAACACGTACTACGAACATAAACTTGTGCATTGAAAAATATGTGATTGCACTAAAAGTTATTTCATATTTGCCTGCCTCGTTGAGAGTACGGTTCCTAGGCTATTCTTGGGGCATTTATCAGAGATGCTTTTAGATGCGGAGCATCTAATACTCGAGGCTTGTAGTGCGGCACCGTCCGCAAGCTTCCTCCTCCTTCTTCCACCATCTGTGCATCTCTTCCTCCTCTACACACCGCGCGCGCTTCACTCCTCCACCATCTGTGCACCCTTCCTCCTCTACACACCGCGTACGCTTCTCCTCTTCACAAACATTCGCTAGCTGTATAATGTAGCGCGCATGCGCCGTCACGCTTCGAGAACATCGGTAGCTGACGCGCGCGCATGCGCCGTCGCGCTTCGAGAACATCGGCAGCTGACGCGCGCGCATGCGCCGTTGCGCTTCTCCCCCTTCTCGAACATTCGACAGCTGACAGTGCATGCGCCGTCGCGCTGTATATATACTCAAGGTCGGCGCTCGCTCGCTCAGTTGCCGCTCGTCGGCTAGTTTGTACGGCGCGTCGACGTCCAAGGTTGCGGTGAAATGAATTCCAATGAATCCACAAACACAATGATCGACGTCCCTTCGACCAGCACCGCCCTTTCGCATTCGTGTGTACGTGTTCACTCATTTAGCACGCCCCTCCTACAACCACGTTAACCAATTTAGCCATCGACCCAAGTAAGTCGCAATTTAACACCCCATTTCACAACCACTTTAACCAATTTAGCCATCGACCCAAGTAAGTCGCACTTTAACACCCCGGTAACCAATTATATGCTCCGCATCCTCCTCAGTGTTCTCCCAAGGGAAGCTGCGGGCAATTTTTTTTCCGTAGACGTAGTCGTTCCATGATCGCCTGTTCACATCTCTCTTCTCGGTGATATGCCCATAGACACTGGTTGACTTGCCTCACTTCATTTCATCACCGAGTACACCATTTCACTGAGTGATCCCCGTGTCCGTACATTTATGTGAAACAACTTAGTGCCTGATCTTGTCGGCGTCTCCTATCGTCACGGTGCACCACGTGGGCATGGTACTGTAAACGTCACGCATCGACTTCGCCCTATCATCACAACACAAAGTAGACAAAATTTGTAGTGCAATCATTACGTGATCACGACGTGGTGAAACACCTTGGTGCACACATCGGCAGGGTTTGCAGCAGAAGCACGAAAGTATTGAAAGAAAGATTTGACAGCAAGAAACAAAAGGCAAAGAGGGGTCTTGGCATGGTACCATGTAATGTCATGGGTATGTAGTGTGGCGTGATAGTAATATATAACTGATAATAACGTAGCGCGTAAAAACTGCGACACTGCACAATAAAAGAGAAGAAGAGGAGCACTATGTTCCAACAAAAACTTACACTCAGAAAAAGCTAACAAATTAGACAAAGGAGTTTTGAAACCAATAATTGCCGTGCACGAAAATAAACAGTGTTAGGAAGAACAATAGTTTTGATAAAGCCAAAGAGAGGAAGTGCTGACACAGTTTCTGCCTCAATGATCTCCCTTGTGATTTCATTTCTGTTATTCGCAACAATCACGGTATCACGAAAAAGTTGTTTGCAACCACATGTGCTGAATCGCTAGGCTAAAAATATCGCAACTATTCCTGACGTTGCACGCCTGTTCACAAAGCCGGTCATTAATACAGCGGCTGGTTGCTCCTATGTAGTTCTTCCCGCATGAAATAGGTGTTTGATAGAGTATAACAGGGTTGCTCCAAAACGCACAAAACCCTGTTTCTCACGTGTGCTAAAAATATATTCTAACAGACACCTCTTTCATACGGCAAGCACTACATAGGAGCAACCAGCTGCTGTAATAATGACCGGCTTCGTGAACATGCGTGCAACATCAGGAACGGTGGCGATGATTTTCTCGCACAGCAGTGCAGCACGTCTTGTTGTAAACCAGTTTTTCATATTACCGCGCGTGTTGGGAAAAACAGAAACACAACTACAAGAGAGATTATCAAGGCAGAGAAGAACAGTAAATTAGGGCTGGACTGTGGCAGCACTATCTCTGTGGGGCGTTGTAAAAAAGGATCGTCCTTCCTAAAAGTGTAAATTTTCGCGCATGGCTATTGTGGGTTTCAAAACTGTGTTTTCTCTGTGTTTCTAAACTTGTGAGTATATATATATATATATATATATATATATATATATATATATATATATATATATATATATATATATATATATATATATATATATATATATATATATATATATATATAGATCTAACAGACAATAATGCCAAGGAATGTATAGGGGAAGTTATTAAAACCAATGTAAATAAGAAGAAAGAAACGTGGCTGAACAAATAACATGCCGTGAGCAGAAATCGAACCTACGACCTCCGAATAACGCGTTCGATGCACATCTCTATATTACTGTGTCGAAACAAGGAAAAACGAGTCCTTAAGTATACACTTGTTCCCTTTATATATATTATGAAGTCTTGGTAGTCTTGGCTGCGACAGCGTTTATTTGAGGAAAGACCTCCCAAAACGAACGGGCAGAGCCAGCACACAGACGATGACGATGATGATGAACCAGAGTGGCAATGAGGACAAAGAGACAAGCGGATGATGGTGATTGTGATCATGCAGGGATGAGGACGATGCAAGTAACAAATGCCCACACTAATTTCCCCCCACTTGAAAGCGGACACCCTGGCCGCCGTAAGTCAAAGTGACGGGGAACGTCGCGTGAAAGGTTTCATGCGACAAACGTGGACAATCTCTGTGCTTCGGTAGCGGCGGTCTGTTGGAGCGACGAGTGATGTCACACGATAATTAACCGGCGAAGTCTGTTCTAAAACAATGTATGGCCCGATGAAGCGTGGTTGGAATTTGTCACAGAGACCAGGAGTGCGAATAGGTGTCAAAAGCAGCACCTCGTCACCAAGTTGGAAAGACACAACGCGGTGGGATTCGTCATAGATGATCTTCCGCTCGTGCTGTCTCGCTTCAGTATTGATGCGAGCCTGATGGCGAGACTGGGCCAGGCGGAAAATGTATTCTTCGCTAGAAGACTGACGTGAATTCCCATGGCTGCTAAAGAAGGAAACGCCGAGAAAGGTAGTCGGGGTGCGTCCGTACACGAGGTAAAACGGTGAGTAGCAAGTTGTTCGCTGAACGGCGGTGTTGTAAGCGAATGTCAGGAATGGTAAAAGAGTGTCCCAGTTTTTGTGGTCGGGTTGGACGTAAACGGCTATCATATCTGCAAGGGTTCGGTGAAATCTTTCTGTGAGACCATTTGTCTGAGGGTGGTAGCTTGAAGCTGTCTTGTGAGTAGTTCCAGATGCGCGCAGTACTTCATTTACAACTTGTGACAGGAACACTTTGCCGCGGTCACTAAGCAGTACACGAGGAGCCCCATGACGCAGTATTATTGCGTGAAGAATAAAGTCTGCAACTTCCACAGCTGCGCCTGTAATAACAGAGGAAGTTTCAGCGTAGCGTGTCAGGTGGTCCACGGCAGTCACTATCCATCGTTTGCCAGCAGATGTGACGGGGAGAGGCCCGTAAAGGTCAACACCTACAACCTCGAACGGCATTGAAGGGCACGGAAGTGGCTGTAGAGGTCCAGCAGGTGCCGACGTGGGGAGTTTACGACGCTGGCATGGGTAGCAGGAACCGACGTACCGAGCTACACTAGAAGAAAGGCCAGGCCAGTAATAACGACATCGAATGCGGTCAAGAGTTTTTTTAAAACCAAGATGACCAGCAGTCAAGTCGTCGTGGAAGGCTTCGAGCACCTGAAGTCGAAGAGAGCGTGGCAGTACAGGAACCCAGCGCTGACCGTCAGGGTGGTAGACGTGGCGGTAGAGAACCCCATTATCCACCTTAAAGTGCAGGAGTCGACGACGCAGTCGCGCGTTTGGTGGATGAGAAACTCCCGAAAGGTGGTCCATGATGCGTCTGCAGTATGAATCGGACCGCTGGCGGGAGTAAATGTTGGCTCGTCGTCCGAAAAGGGTTGCGTTATTGATGCGAGCGTACGAACTCTGGTAGATGTGGCGGTTGAGTTCTCACCAACGCTCATATGGGTAGTTGGAAGCGGGCAACGAGATAAAGCATCGGCGTCTTGATGTTTTCTGCCTGACTTGTAAGTTATATCAAAGTCGTACTCCTGCAAGCGTAGTATCCACCGACCCAAGCGTCCGGACAAGTTCTTCAGAGTAGAAAGCCAGCATAAGGCATGGTGGTCCGTAACGATTGTGAAGTGACGCCCGTGGAGATAGGGACGGAACTTCTGGACCGACCAAACCACAGCCAAACACTCTTGCTCAGTTATAGTGTAGTTCTTTTCAGCAGCGGTGAGTACGCGACTGGCATATGCAATAACTTTCTCTAGGGAAGACTTGTCGCGTTGTAGAAGAACGGCTCCTATACCAAGGCCGCCAGCGTCGGTATGGAGGATAGTTGGTGCGGCTTCGTCAAAGTGGCAGAGCAGAGGTTCAGACGTGAGTGCCCGCTTCAACAGGTCGAATGCTGTTTAGCATTCTTGAGACCACAGAAAGGGGACGTTGGAAGCAAGTAGTTGGTGTAATGAAGCAGCAATAGAAGCGAAGTTCTGGATAAACCGGCGAAAATAGGAGGCGAGGCCGAGAAAACTGCGAAGCTCCTTTGGTTTTTCGGGGCGCGGAAAATGAA